GCGGTCTGAGCGGCAATTGTGGCCTGTCCCGACCCTGCATACTGCCCCGACATTGCGGCCACCCGCGACACCGGTGCCTGCCCCGGGCCCTGCCCACACCGTCCCGGAGCCCCGCCGCACGGGGAACACCACGCGACTTTCCACCGCGGCTTTGCACCGGGCCCGTGGCGGAGCCTCCCCGAGCCGCTCCCGCTCGGTTTAGCCGGAGGTCATGCCTGGCACCGGTCACCCGCACGGCCCTGGCATGGGGCACCTGTTCGGCCGCTCCCACACACCGTCGGTCTTYGCTGCCATCCCACGGGCAGCACCGGCTGGGTGCGCATTAGCACGGAACGCCCGTGGCRTCGAGCAGCTCCGCGGAGCCGGAGGCGGCTGCCCATCCCCATCAGCCGGTGCACCGGGGCCGCCTCTCCCCGGGCTCCCGGGGACGGCCGTTCCTTTGCTCCCTCCCGGCCCCGGCCACCCCGCAAACAGCCGTCTCGTCTCATCTCGTCCCCCTTCCCCCATCCCCGGGGCCGGTCCTGCCGGGCTGCTSGAGCTGTCACAGACGCTTCCAGTCCCGGGCAGGCAAACCCCGCCCGGTGGACCGTGTCCCGGTGATCCCGTCCCGGTGCGGTGCCGGGGCGGAGCCGGCAGGGGGCGTCCCTTCCGCCCGTTCCCGTGAGCGCGGGCCCCGCCCGGTCCCCGAGCCCGCCCGCTGTTGCCGTGGGGACCGGCTCGGGTTACGGGGTTCGGGATATCCCCGGGGGCCTTGGCGAAGGGGGGCTCCCAGGCAGCCATGAGGTCCGGGGGTCCCCAGAGGGCCGAGGATGATGAAGGTCGATGGGATGTAGGGGGGTCCCAGGAGGCACAGAGGCTGCCAAATGGACAAAAGAGCGAGCCAGGGAGGGTTCCCCACAGATCAGCAGCMGTATCATCCCTGCAAACAGCCTAAATCCGTCCCTCCGTACTGCTCCTGGCTCCAGCTGGCTGCTGGAGCACCACTGCTTCCAAGAGCTGCTCCTGTGTGGAGTGGCACCAAGCACGGTGACAGATTCCTCTGTGCTGTCAGTGCAAGCAGCAGTGCCGGAGGGTAAGGTCAGGGTTGGTGCAAGGGGACGTTTCCCAGCTCTGAGGAATGAGCAGTGACTGGGTTTCTCCCTGTGCAGAGGATGAAGGCAGTGGTGCAGATCTTCAGGTCAGAACCAGCTGGACATTGTGAGGGCAGAACTCCAGGCAAGAGAAAAAACAATGGAAAATAATCTGGGAAGCTACTTGCTCACATCACTATGAAATGAGACTGTACAGTCATGTTACCTTTGCTTTCCATCCTCCTCKCTTAAAGACACTGTGTTGATCTTACAAATGTCAAACAATTCCATTTCTGAGAATGAATCCCATTTGCTCCGTGGGGATGATCTTCCCATCAGCCTGCCAGGAAAGAGAGAGAGCYCTGTGACAGACGGCAACCTGTGCTCGGGGAGGGGTCTTCTCATGGGATCACTTCTTCCTGGCATGCCCACGGATGCACACAGGGCTTATTTTTTCATGAAAATATCACCCGGTTGGGCAGGCACTCACCAGCAGCAGTGTGGGTGTTGGGGGAGGGCTGGATCTCCTGCACCAGGGTCTGGATTTTAGCTGGAAGACAGGTATGGCTGTAGYTATGGAGGCACAAGCTGAAGGAGAAGGAAAGCCTGGAACATGTCAGGAGGGAGGAGGCAAGCAGCTGTGTGATAGATTAGTGGAACTTTATTTTTTTTCTATTTAAAAAAATGATAAAAAAGGGGAATTAATTAGCTTCAGCAGCTGGTGGGGCTGGGGTTACTGAGGGTGGCTGGAAGAAGAGTTAAAAATAGCAGGAAGGCCCAAGTGGAAAGTTTCTGTAACATCACAAGTCAGGCATTTGGTGCTTACCCGCCCTGACAGGCGGGAGCCTGTGCCAGAGCCCTCTCCAGCATCCTCAGCCCTTTCCCACTGACCTCCCTGCAACTTTTCACACGACATCACCAGCCCTTCATTTTGCTAATTAACCCTTTGCTTCCAGACACCGGATTTGCTTCTTGAAAGAGCAAAATCATCCACAAATTGCTSAGGCTGGGAGCGTGAGAGTGCAGAGGAGCGCAGTGCTGGTGCCGGCCGTCCCTGGGTCCCTGCGTGCCGCTGGCAGTGTGTGGAGCCCAGAGAGGCTGTAACCCTCCTGGTGTCCATTCCCATCTGCATTTCAGCTTCCCCTCCTTAAAAACCCTCCCACTTCCAGGGGCCCTGGGTCTGAGCCCTATGCTGGGACACTCTGGATGCACAGTTTGTCCTCGGCTGAGACGGAGATGGATGAGGCAGCTCTGAGCAAGCCCAGCTTGCTGCACTTGTCCCCGCTGCGAGAAAGCAGATGTACCTGGCTGCTCCAAAGGGCTTTCTCCGCTTTTGTTTGTCTTTCAAGATAGACAATGAGAGCAGCTGAATTCATTCCTCTCCCTCTCRGGGACTCAGCAGTGGTATCTGGCTCTGCTGCTCTGGGAAGGCCAGCAAAAGCTGAGCCTGCCATGCAGAGGGTGGTTTGAGGGTGGTGGAGAAGGGCTTGGGCTGGAACAGATTTTGGTGTTTGGCAGAGTGATCAGTGACTGTAGCAGACCATAAAACATGAGAAAATACTGCTGGGGCGACTGGGGGTCAGGTTTGGCTGTAGTTTGCACTAAACAGGAGCTGGGCACTACCTGTACCTGGTTTTAAAGTATTTCCCCATTCCCTCAGCTATGTGCAGAGAACAAGCATTTGGGCCATCCCCACTGTATGCTGGTGCAGGACCCTGGGGACACAGAGGGGGTGGCACAGCTCACACAAAGCAGGCTTCCCTAGACCTTCCTTGTGTGACAGGACTGCCATGCAGGGAAYAGGACACCTCTGAGCACAAACCATCKGAGCACTCCCTGCTCCTCCTCCTTACACTGAAACAGCCAAAGCATGGCAGCTTATTCCTGCTCTGTGCTTTGCCCCTCCTAGCCCTCCTCTGTCGCAGGGGCATGCTGGGTACCAAGGTGCTCCTTAGGATCCCCACCAAGGAAATGTCACTMATCTGATGCCAACCCCTCACCCACTGCCTGGAGCAGCCAGGGCTGTATGAGATGCCAAGATGACTCCATTGCCTTCAGCTCTTCTTCTCCCCAGTCCTGTTCAGCACTTTGGGCATTTAYTGATGTGGTTTTATGGCACAATGAAGTGTGACCCTGGAACAATAAAGTAATGACCCTGTTACTGTCATTCTGGCCTCACTATTGGTGTGCTCTGACCATGAGAGGTGTCTGGAACCAGCCCTGGTGCCACGAGGCTCTGCCAGTATATCCCAGTATGGGCTGAGCTGGTGAGCCAGTGTAGGGTCAGATCACTGTCTGCACTGGGACAGTTTGGGACAGTGGTGCCAGTGCCCAGGATCMACTGACAGGTTCAAATAAAAACATCTCCTGCTATCGCCAGTGCCAGGAGAGCTCCAGCCTTAGAGACAGGGCTGCACAGCCAGTCTCCAGGCTGCTAAATCCTGTTAAAACGCATCTCCCGCTGTGCACGGCAGGACTGGACCGGGCTCGACTCGCTCCTTACTTGGGAGCCAAGTCTGGGGTGGCGAGACCACGGCCGGGAACCGGAGGGACCCTGCTCCGCACAGGACCGGAGCGCATCCCGCAGCRTCCTGATGCAGCCGCTGCTCCCCACGACTGATGGTACGCGTCCCTGGGGAATTCGCCGTTCTCCGGCACCGCAAGCCCCGAGGGGACCGAGGGGACCAGGACAGGGCGGCGAGGCCGGGCCAAGGCCGGTGCGGGCGGGGATGTGTCCGGCGGGGGAGGGATCGGTGCGGACAGGGGCTCCACCTCCCGCGGCTTAAAGCCCGGGGCGGGCGGCGGCGCGGCTGTCCCGGGAAAGTTTTGTCGAGTTGCCGCCGGCTCAGACCGGGAGGAGCTCCGGGAGCGGCGGCGGTTCGGTCGGGGTCTGCCGGTTGCGGGTGCCCTTCGGGGAGACACGCACTCCCCCGCCCACCCTASAGCCCCCCGCCCTTGGTGCCGGTGATGACCCTGAACACGCAGCCGGGGAGCCCGCTGCGGCGGAGGGCCAGCACCCCGCTCCCGCGGCCGGGGGGCACTGGGGCCACCTCACGGGGAGAGCCCTTTCACCCCCAGCTCGGCCACACCGCCTCCGAGCCGGGTGGCAGGGCTCCCCGCGGCAGCTTGTCCCCCGACTCCTCTGGCTCGCCAAGGCTYAGGAAGCCCCGGTACCGAGTGGTGCTACTGGGAGACCCCGGCGTGGGGAAGACCAGCCTGGTCAACCTCTTCGCCGGCGTCCAGGAGCGGGACCCGCTGGACCAGCACGGAGGTGGGTGTCTGTGGGGGGAACTGCTGCAGGATCACCTGCGGGGCATCCCGTTTGCCCCACGATGGGCAGGCGGAGAGGAGCCCGGGATCCGGGGCTCCGGGAAGCGCGGCACTGACCGGGCTCTCCTGGTGTTCCRCAGGGGCCGCATACGAGCGCAGGCTGACCGTGGATGGCGAGGAGACCACGCTGCTGGTGCTGGACACCTGGGAGCCAGAGCAGCGGGTACGGCGGGGCTGGGKGCTGCAGGGAGCTGGGTGAACCAGGATGTGCCATGGGGATATTGTAGGGGCACAAATGCTGTCTGAGCACCCCTGAGTGCTTTCAAGGGCAACCTGGGGCTCCCCTGTCCATGTCTGGGGCTCATTGCCCTCACTGTGGAGCAGGGGATACACTCTGGGAGAGACATGCTGGGGTCACACCTCTGGCCAGCTCTGTGCTCACCCTCCCCTGGCATGGGAGGTGGCCCGCCATGTTCTCACTGGTGTGGGTGTTTATATGATAACCCACTTGAAAATGCATGGAAATGGTTTGGGAATGGGGCTGAAGGAGTCACCAACTGGATAAATCCACGAGTCAGTATTGCTAGCCAGAACATGTGCCTTAACAGACAGAACGGTGGCCCCGAGAGCCTGGCACAGGGCATTCCTCATGCCCAGCACATGAGGTATTTCCCAGGCAGAAATGCCAGTGCTGCTGCCACTGCCTCCCTCCAAAGGCCTCCCTCCTTCTCTTCATTCCAGGGCCCTGCATTCCTGTAGGTGCCAGCAGGCAGTGMGTCCCAGGAGCAGGGATGGAGTCAGTGCCTGAGCTGTGGACAGGGGAGCAGTAGCCACATGGATTGAAGCTGTGTTTGGCACGTAGCTTCACTGCCCAGAGAYGCCCCAGCACTGTAACACCCCAACAATGGCCCTTTTTTCCCACTATGGCTTATTCCCACCCTGCCCAGCACTGCCTGGCTTATGAGGGGTGCAGCATCCACCACACAGTCCCAGGGCATTCCCAGGGGATTCAGCCTCACCTCCCCATATCAAGCTGAGCCCACAGCCCCAGTTTGTTGTTGATAGAGAAGAAAATTCCCAAACACTCCCCCCAAAATCAAGAGCTTTTAAACTGCATTTAATTAATAGGGTCATACATCTGTTCCCCACAATGTGGGGGCTGGTGGAGTGCCCTGGAAGGTCCCAGTGGTGTCAGGGTGCTCCAAAGTCCCCTGGAATTGGTCACAGCCATGGAGTGGTGACATCTCGCTCCCCCTGTGGCGACAGGATGAGGAGAGCCAGCGCCGCAGCCACTGCCTGCAGGTGGGGAACGCCTACATCATCGTCTACTCCATCACCGACCGGGACAGCTTCGAGAGCGCCTCGGAGCTGCGCATCCAACTGCGCCGCGCTCGCCAGGCCGAGGACATCCCCATCATCCTGGTGGGGAACAAAACCGACCTGGTGCGGTGCCGCGAGGTCTCCGARGAAGGTGAGCAGGGGGTGAAGGTTCTGGCTGGTGGGGACCCCTTGAGGGGGCTCCATTTTCAGCTGCTTCCCCTAYATCTGTCCCCTTGTCCCTGGACGTGCAGCTGCTGTTGTGCATGTGGCAGTGCCCGTCCCAGAGCACTTGGGATGCCAGCGGGGCTGTGTCCCCTCCTTGTCCTTCCCTTGCAGAGGGCCAGGCCTGTGCTGCTGTCTTTGACTGCAAATTCATCGAGACRTCAGCAGCTCTGCAGCACAACGTGGACGAGCTCTTCGAGGGGGTGGTGCGGCAGATCCGCCTGCGCCAAGGGGGCAAGAAGTCCCACCTGCACCCCACACCCAGCCAGAAGCACAAGGAGAGCCTCACCAGCAGAGCCCGGCACTTCCTCGACAGGCTAGTGRCCAGGAACAGCAGCAAAGTGGCCCTCAAAGTCCGCTCCAAGTCCTGCCATGACCTGTCTGTGCTCTGAGAGCCACAGTCCCATCCCTCCACGCAGGCCAGCTGGGACTCTCCTCTGTGCCAGCAGCATGGCCGGTGGCTGAGCCCAGACAGGGCTGGAGTGATGCTGAGGATGTGGAGCTGTTTTCACCGGTGCTGAGGGATGCCAAGGTGGATCCAGCAATTCCCCTCCAGGAGARGGGATAAGTGGGACCAGGTCCATGGAGCAGAGGGTGGGATGGGTACCTGCACTTGGGGTGGTGTAAATTTGGATCACAGCTGCTCCTGGGGAGCTGGAGGTGAGGAGTGGCTGTGCCCCAGAGCAGGGCTGGAGGCTGTCAGGAGTGTGGCAGGTCCCGCTCTGAGTGCCATCCTTTGCRGGGACTGGCAAGGGCACCGTGGCGGTGTCCATCTCAGACAGCCTGAGCCTGGCTGGGAGGAGGGGGCAGGGGTGCACGAGTGGCAGCACCTGGTGGCACCCTGACCCTGCTGCGCCAGGGCTTTGTGCCATGTCTCCCTGCACCAGTGTTTCTGTGCTATCTCTGTACTGGTGCAATGGGGAGCCCTCGATGTGCAGAATAAACTGTGTCAGGGAGGTGCTGTTCTCTGCTGGTCCCTGCCCTGGGGAGCCACTACCCAGAGCCAAYGGTCAGATTGAAGCCCTGTTCCTTGCCTGTGGCCAGGGCTGAGGATCTGCTTCCTGCTCTAAGCAGGCCTTGGCCAACTCCATCTCCATTAGCTGGAATACCTCGGGGCAGGGGGAGCCTCTGTCTTGAGCCACCCTTGGTKGAGGTCCTGATTCCTCACCAGTGGTCCAGCATCATCCCCAGAGATGGCAGAAGCCCACAGCCCCCTGCACCTTCCAGCTCCCAGTCAGCTCTGGAAAAGCCTCTGGAAGGGCTGAGCTCTGCTGAGCTGCAGGTTTCAAGCCCCTGAGGACTGTGAGAGTCGCAGTGCAGGCAGGGAGCTGGGCTCTTGGTGGCTCCTGGTGTCTCCTGGTGCCCCAGAAAGGGGCAGGGAGCAGGGACCGAGCAGAATGGCACAGCCAGGAAGGGACGTGCTTGGCTGCAGCAARCAGGGAGTGACCCTGGGCACCCCGGGAGGCGATGCTGGAGCCGTGTGGGCTTTGCCTGCTGTTTTTAGGCTGTGCTGCCAGCCAGCAGCTGGGATGCCATGGGGAACCTACTCAGCACCGGGGGCCTGATGCCAGGGAGGATCAATGGTGCCCTCCCAGCCGGGTCAGGAGTTTCCACTCGCTCTGTGGTCAGACYGTGGGGAACCACTGGCTGTGGCCAGCACAAACAGGACACTGGRATGGGGCAGCAACCTGTCCCTATGGGAAAACAGCCTCTCCAGAGGTGCAAATCCCAAACTTTGTCCTCAGACCCTGGGAGGTGGGTGCACAGATTTTTTTCCACGCTGCTCAGTGCCCATGGCATTGCTGCTCCATCCTTGCTGCTGATCTACTCCTATTTTGCCCTGGAGCTTGCAGCACGTCARTTCCTGGTGCTGCTGGAGGAGATGCTGTGGTTCACACAGCATCAGCCATGCCGGGGTTCTTGCTGCTGCCGGTCCYTCCCGCAGCTGCAGCTGGTGTTTCCCTGTGGCAGGAGACGGGGGAGGGGGGCCATGGGATGGAAAGTTGGCAGTCAGCAGAGAGGGGAGTGGAAAGAATGAGCTCAAACCCAGAAAAATGCGGCCGTGCTGGCGGATGGGAGGAGTGGGAGGAGAGGCCAAGGGGGGCCACGGTGAGGCGCTGGGAAACGGAGAGAGGATGGAAGGAGGAGGGAGCGTGGAAGGAGGAGGCGCTGGCAGGGGGCCAGGAACTGCCTGTGGTCCCCCCCTGGGGAAGGTGCTGCCAGGTCTCCGTGGTACCAGCATCTCCTGCGAGTGCTCTCAGGGCCATCCCAGTGCCATCTGTCCCTGGCTGGCCACAGGGCCCAGTGCTGTCWGTGCCTGGGTGGCCATCAGTCCCAGTGCATCCATCCGTGGGGGGCTACCAGCCCTCGTACAGCCTCCCCCAGTCCCATGGGCTCCCCGGTGCCCACCAGGTGCCCACCACCCTGCTCCCACCTCCATGGGGTCCTGCTGGCTCCCGGCCATGTGGACACCAGCCCCAGACTCCCCCATCTCGCTCTGCACTTGTGAGCAGCCCTGCCCTTTGTGAGGATTCCCAAGCCAGGCTGGGATTTAGGAGGCAGATGAGCTCCCGGAGGGGTCAGAGCTGTGCTGTGCCAGGCACAGGGTGGGATGCAGTGGGGTTGTGGGCACACTGCCTGCTGCTGCCCATCCTTATTCCGTAGCAGCATCCCGGGCAGGAGGCCAACCCCGCAGAGAGGGGCTCCCAGGGGGCCTTCCAATCTGCCCTCTGCCTGAAACGCGGAACTATGAATCACCCCGCTCCTGAAATAGATTCCTTTTATTTAAAATATAAAATTTAGAGGACATTTTAAGAAAATTAAAGACTTGCATTTTAATCCCTGCTGTGCTCCCATCTCCTGCTCATGGCTCAGATCTAAACTGGGGCCAGCCACCATTTCCCTGTGCTCAAATCTTCACAAATTTTTTGCTCCTCAGCAGACTTTCATCCCGGTGAGGAGGAGGAGGAGAAGGCTTGGTGGCACAGCCGATATGCCAGCGGCTTGGAGTATTTGTGRGGAAAACACACATTTCGGCCAATTTTCCAGCACAGCCCTGGTCCCAGTCCAGCGCATGGGGAGAACTTGCTGCCATTTTTAAGGCATTTTACAGAGAGGCTGTRTGACCACGGGTGGGTTGGGAGCAATCAGGGGGAGTCCCAAGGACGGGGGGTGGGAGGAAGTTCTTGGAAAACGATGAAGGATGAGAAAACCCAGGCGAGCGACTCAACTCACTCGTGTCGATGGCACCTGGAGCTGCGGGGGGGCTGCGGGAAAGCGGAACCCTTGCTCATAGGTACCGCTGGGGCTGTCCCTTGTCCCTCACACAGCTGGGTTGGGCACAGAGGGTCGGCCCGGGGGTCGCAGCCCTTCTCCCGGTGCGGTGCGGTGATGGCGCTGCCCTTCTCCTGGCACCGCCGCCGGGGGCGGGGCGGCTTCAGCGACGCTACGCGTGACGCACTTCCGGCCGGTAAGGGGACGTGTCGGTGCGGACCGCGGTGGGAGCAGCCGCCATGGAGGAGCCCGCGGCGCACAACGGCAGCGCCGCCGGGGCCGCGCCCGGGGCCGCCACCGGGACCCCCGCCCGCCCGCCCGCCACCCCCGAGGGGATGGCGCTGGCCTACGGCAGCCTCGTCCTCATGGCGCTGCTGCCCATCTTCTTCGGGGCGCTGCGCTCCGTCAGCTGCGCCAAGAGCAAGGTACCCCCGCGGCTCCGGGGCGGCCGGGCCCGTAGGCCTCGCCCCTCCCCAAAGGTCCCCTCTGGGCGTCCCGTTCCACGGGCAGACCGGCAGCTGCATGTCCCCCGCCCCGGACCTGGGCCTGGAAATGGAGGGGACCCCGGGGAGAGAGTTGGCTTCCCCCGGGGGCTTCTCCAGCCACGTCCTCGCTGCCCCGATAAATTGAAGTGCTGCAAAACACAACCGTCTCTTGTCCCTCCGCAAGAGGAGCTGTGTTGGGGGGACTCGTGTGTGGCTTTGCCCCGCGGCGCTGGGGCTGGTCCGGGGGTGCTCTCCTGCCTGCACACCCTGTCCTGTCCCTGCATCACTCCCGCTRTTCTCTGCATTTCACAGCAGGGACTTAAGCCCCAACACTTAGGCTGCTGCAGCTCAGGAGGAAGGACTATTTTACACAGTCTGATCTATTGCTATTTTTAAAATCTYCTTGTGTGCCCTTAAGCCTCATATCAGGGGCTTCAGCTAATTTTGGGGGGTTTCTGAGAGACCAGGCATCGGGGGGCTGTAAGCAGAGCCCAGCTGTGGTTCAGGATCAGGGATTCTCATCTCTCTCTTTACAGGGAGCAGCAGGAATTTAGCAACTCTGCACTGCCGGGTACAGCATGACAACTGCTGTGGCCGGGATAAGCTGCACAAGGGCTTCTGAGGTGCCCTCGATCTGTGCTGGCCGCAGGTGTTTGCCTGAGTGAGATTAGATCTCTGAGCAGCAGCCAGCTGGGCCTGGAGCAGGCAGGGAGCAGGCAGAAAACAGGCAGCCCTCTGCYTCCTCTGAAAGCTGAAGGTCTCCCAGGGGCAATGTCTTGAAAGGGGCTGGTTGAGCTGGTGCAAAGATGTCTCAGAAGGGGTTTATAAATCTGGGTCTTTTGAGCATGAGAAGTGTCCCAAGAGCAAGGTGAAGGATGAGAAGGTGGCTGGAGGGATGCATTGTGCACAGGGTGATCACAGATGGTGGCACAGATGGGGCTGGCTGGGYGTGAGCGGTGAGGGAGCCCAACTCCCCTCTGGGCAGGGGAGAAAGGAACAACGCCAGTACAGGGTTTTTTTCCTTCTCCAAGAGGAGAAAAGCAATARATTGTGGCTGCCCTGTGAAGGACAAGTGCGAGGTTTGTGTTTTCCATCTCAGCTTTGCCTCTGACGCAGCCTCACCTCCACATACAGCAGGGACCAATGGATGTTTTCTCTCTMTTGAAACCAGTGTGGAGCCCTGCTTTTGTTTGTTCACCTCCTGCTCAGGTGAGAAGCCAGAGCAGCAGCTGATCCATTCCTGTCCTCTCCTTCCCTCCCCAGAACTCCTCCGAGATGCCAGAGACCATTACCAGCCGAGACGCTGCTCGCTTTCCTATTGTTGCCAGTTGCACCCTCCTGGGGCTCTACCTCTTCTTTAAAGTAAGTGAGTGACCCTGGAACTGAGGCAGGACAGGCTCATGCCTGGCAGGAGCTCCCATAATGTCTTGACTCTATTTTCAGCCCTTAGCATTGGGACAGAAGGTGTGTAAGGCTGCACAGATCGAGCTCTTCGGTGTCACGGTGCAGGAGGACGTCAGTTCTTGCCTGAATTGTCACAGCTTGGGGGGAAATCCGAGCCTGTTTGTGCACAGGTTGGTTCTGGAGAGCTGCCGAGGAGCAAATAGCCCTGAGCTCTTCCTGCCTCCATGGCCAACCTGGCATAGCACAGGCTGAAGCCAGAGGGTGCCAGGGACTCTGAGCAGCAAATGCTGCTGCCCCCACGCTGTGCTCCACRCTGTGCTCCTGGAGCCATGTCGGCTGCAGGCCTGGGGGAGCCCCTGTGTGATCAGGTGAAGTCTTCTAGAC